GACCGGGCGTAGCCACACTCGGTTCAACTAAAGTTGGAGAGACAGTCGCCCGCAAGCCATCTATGTGCAAAGTACGTCGAGGGAACCGGTCTCGCGTAAGCGTACGCGTAAGGTTGGTCCGGGTCGTCTCGTCCAACAATACCGCCGAACCAAAGTATGACATGCTGGTAGGCAGTATGACTTGTATCGCCCACAACTCACTTGTGTTCTACTCGTGCAAATAACATCAAACCATAAAACCTAGGCTCGGATGCCACTGTTGGGGAACGTAGTAATTTCAAAATTTTCCTACGCACAAGCAAGATCATGGTGATGCATAGCAACGAGGGGGAGAGTCTGATCTAAGTACCCTTGTAGATCGCAATGGAAGCGTTGACACAACGTAGAGGAAGTAGTCGTACGTCTTCTTCCCGATCTGACCGATCCAAGCACCGTTACTCCGGCACCTCCGAGTTCTTAGCACACGTTCAGCTCGATGACGATCCCCGGGCTCCGATCCAGCAAAGCTTCGGGGAGGAGTTCCGTCAGCACGACGGCGTGGTGACGATCTTGATGTACTACCGACGCAGGGCTTCGCCTAAGCACTACAACGGTATGATCGAGGTGGAATTTGGTGGCATGGGGCACCGCACACGGCTAAGGAACGATCTCAAGAATCAACTTGTGTGTCTAGAGGTGCCCCCTGCCCCCGTATATAAAGGATGAAAGGGGGGAGGCTGGCCGGCCAAGCTAGGAGGCGCAGGAGGAGTCCTACTCCTACCGGGAGTAGGACTCCTCCCCCCAATCCTATTCCTAATAGGATTCCCCAAAGGGGAAGAGAAGAGAGAGGTGGCCGGCCCCTCTCCTAGTCCTAATAGGACTAGGGAGAGGGGGGGAGGCGCAGCCCTATGTGGGCTGCCCTCTCACCTTTCCACTAAGGCCCATGTTGGCCCATTTGGCTCCCGGGGGGGTTCCGGTAACCCTCCCGGTAATCCGGTAAAATCCCGATTTCACCCGGAACACTTCCGATGTCCAAACATAGGCTTCCAATATATCAATCTTTATGTCTCGACCATTTCGAGACTCCTCGTCATGTCCGTGATCACATCCGGGACTCCGAACTACCTTCGGTACATCAAAATGCATAAACTCATAATAACTGTCATCGTAACGTTAAGCGTGCGGACCCTACGGTTCGAGAACAATGTATACATGACCGAGACACGTCTCCGGTCAATAACCAATAGCGGGACCTAGATGCCCATATTGGCTCCTACATATTCTACGAAGATCTTTATCGGTCAGACCACATAACAACATACGTTGTTCCCTTTGTCATCGGTATGTTACTTGCCCGAGATTCGATCGTCGGTATCCAATACCTAGTTCAATCTCGTTACTGGCAAGTCTCTTTACTTGTTCCGTAATACATCATCTCATAACTAACATCTTAGTTATTATGCTTGCAAGGCTTATGTGATGTGTATTACCGAGAGGGCCCAGAGATACCTCTCCGACAATCGGAGTGACAAACCCTAATCTCGAAATACGCCAACCCAACATCCACCATTGGAGACACCTGTAGTACTCCTTTATAATCACCCAGTTACGTTGTGACGTTTGGTAGTACCCAAAGTGTTCCTCCGGTAAACGGGAGTTGCATAATCTCATAGTTATAGGAACATGTATAAGTCATGAAGAAAGCAATAGCAACATACTAAACGATCGGGTGCTAAGCTAATGGAATGGGTCATGTCAATCAGATCATTCAACTAATGATGTGATCTCGTTAATCAAATAACAACTCTTTTGTCCATGGTTAGGAAACATAACCATCTTTGATTAACGAGCTAGTCAAGTAGAGGCATACTAGTGACACTCTGTTTGTCTATGTATTCACACATTTATTATGTTTCCGGTTAATACAATTCTAGCATGAATAATAAACATTTATCATGATATAAGGAAATAAATAATAACTTTATTATTGCCTCTAGGGCATATTTCCTTCATTTGCTGCATCATCCTCTCCTCTTCGGGGAAATCCAATGCAGCGCTCAAGAGGTAGCAGTAGCACACAAAGTGTTCCTCCGGTAAACAGGAGTCGCATAATGTCATAGTCATAGGAACATGTATAAGTCATGAAGAAAGCAGTAGAAACATACTAAACGATCGAGTGCTAAGCTAACGGAATGGGTCAAGTCAATCACATCATTCTCCTAATGATGTGATCCCGTTAATCAAATGACAACTCATGTCAATGGCTAGGAAATATAACCATCTTTGATCAACGAACTAGTCAAGTAGAGGCATACTAGTGACACTCTGTTTGTCTATGTATTCACACAAGTATTATGTTTCCGGTTAATACAATTCTAGCATGAATAATAAACATTTATCATGATATAAGGAAATAAATAATAACTTTATTATTGCCTCTAGGGCATATTTCCTTCAAAAATATCAAATCCAAAATTTTGAAGCTATTTTAAAAATATTATCATGTTTATATGCCAAAGTTATGGTCCAATAGGAATATGCTATCCTTAACAAGATTTGACTTTTTTGTTTAACTAGTTGTTGATCAAGAGTGGCACACCTGACACGTTGAGCATGGTCCAGTTGTTGCATCATAAGAGTGGCGCATGAGATGCGTTTCGCAACAAGGCGGTCCTTGATAGAGGCAGGGAGAGAAAACCATCAAGACCTAAATTGTGGAGAGATAGTTTTTTCAACCATATCTCGTGCATGGATCCATCTCATGTGGTTGCTTTGAGATTGGTACTACTTTTTGGTTGTTGTCAAAATGTATCTTGTTTCATAATGTTTTGTTCGGGTTCCTCGCAAAAAAATTGTTTTGTTCGGGTTTTTCTTTTCTGGTTTTAAAGTGTATCGTCATATTTCATTGTGTACCGGTGAAAAACAATGCATTTGTGTCAGATCGGATTTGCTGATTCACATGTAATATTATGTTACACTTTGAAACAAGTGGGGAGGGGGAGGGGCGAATCGAATGTAACATTTGAAATCAAGACAAAATTTAACAAAAAGAAGTTGAATCGTAAAGCAACCACGAATGGTGGATTCATGCACGTATGATAAGACTATCATTTCTATGTTAAAAAGGGAAACGTTTCAGAACAGCGCGTCGGCCGAACGATTCGGCCGGTCGCTCGCCCACGCGGACGCCACGCAGCACAAGGGCCCGCACGCAATCGTCTTTCACCTATCCTCTCCTCCACACACATCTCATCCGCGCACACTTCGTCTCTGGATTTCTCTTCCCCATCTCCATCTCCGCGGACTTCTCTGCCTTTCTCCTTGTCCTGCCTCCGGCGAGGACAACACGGCACGGCGGGGACAGAGGAGGTACACGCCAGGGAGTTGAAATCGGTGGATGGAAAAGCTACATCCGGCTACGCGTGAGCTGCAATTTTTCTCCCCCGTCTCTATCTCCGCGGACCACTCTGCCTCTATCCTCGTCCTGCCTCCGGCGAGGGCCGCGGCTTCTCCGGCGAGGACAACACGGGAGGACGGGGGCAAAGGAGGAAGCACGCCGGGAAGCTGAAATCGATGGACAGAAAAGCTACAACCGTCCACCAAAAAAGCTACAACCGACCACACCAGATGCTGGAGCCGGCCAGGGTTGGAGCTACAACCAACAACTTTTGTTGCTACAACCGACCACACCAGATGCTGGAGCCGGCCAGGGTTGGAGCTACAACCAACAACTTTTGTTGCTACAACCGACCACACCAGATGCTGGAACCGGACATCTTTTTTGCTACAATCGGTGTGAGCAACGATGGTGGCAGCTATTTTTGCTGGAACGGGCATCTAGATTTGCTAGAACCAGTGATCAATTTTGCTACATCCGTGATGGGTGGGGGCGCGAAGGCGAGCTACGACCGGAGGCCACAGGAAAAACCTACAGCAGTATTCTAGAGCTACAATGGCGATGCACGGGAGCTGCAACTGTGGTTTTGTTTTGCTACTACGGGCGACCAATTTGCTGCATCGGTGACAGCGAGACGACATGGCCGCCGGCATGGCGTGCCGCAACCAGGCAAGGGGAGCTGCAAACCATGGCCACAAGAGCTGGAACCGCAGCCCAGCGGAGCTGCAACGGTCCAGTGGAGCTGCAAGGCGACCCCCTGCGGCTGGGATGTTGCAACCGTTGTCCGGCGAGCTGGAACCGTGGTGCAGTGGAGCTGCAAAGGGAGGGGGCGACCTCTTGATTTTTGGGATGATGCACCCGTGGACCGGCGGAGCGAGATCGGTGCTGGAACCAGTCCGACGGAGCGCCGGCGACGCTACTCCCCGGAGTTGCGGTGGTCACCACCGGTAGTGCGGGAACTTTCCATCAAGGATGCTGGAAACGCCCGGCGAAAAAGCTGCAACTAGTCGACGGTGACGGGAGAGCGGCGCCACGGGCTCAGGGGCAAGCGCGGAGTCATGGCTAGTCAGCAAGGGGAGGAAGCAGTAGACCTGAGGGAGCTGCCGAGAAGAAGAAGACGAGCGCACGAGAAGACGAGGGGAGGAATCGTGCGGTGTAGACGCGCGCATCGTGCGGCTAGGGGCTGACCGGCCAAACGATTCAGCCGGCGCACCGGCGCGTGCGCCTATTGTTGCCCTAAAAAAAGACTATCATTTCTCAGATTGTCGATCCAATGGGCCTGGAAATTTTGAAACGCCGCCAAATAGACGAACGTGAAACGGGCACTCCGAGAAGGAAAAATAAATAGAAATCCACTCAAAAAAAGAGAAAGAAATAGAAATGGAAATTTTTAAATGGTAATAACGCTATCACAGCACACGTTCCAAATTTGATCGCGCCAGAAACATGCCAAATTTAAACGCCGTAGCTGTAGCCAACCCTTGCCCGCGACGGATCCACCCTAAACTTGGACGTGTCTCCCTTAAATCTCGCGTCCTCCTCTCCGCAACCCACACCGACGGCCAAGCTCGTTGCCATTGTTTCTCCCATGATAGTCTGGGCGTCCTGATATATCTCCTGCCCGATGTCGGCGATAGTGGGGCACGACGACGGCTCGCCGCCGTCCCCGCTCCACCTGCTGGAGGTCACGGTCATCTCCGCGCAGGACCTGCACCGGCGCCACCGGCTCAGCCACCGGGTGCGCGCGTACGCCGTGGCGTGGATCGACGGCACGCGGAAGCTGCGCACGGAGGTCGACCTCGCCGGCGGGGCCGACCCGACGTGGAACGACCGGTTCCTCTTCCGCGTGGACGCCGGGTTCCTCAAGTCGGAGACCGCCGCCGTCGTCGTCGAGGTGCGCGCGACCCGGAGGTTTGGCTCTGATGTTGTCCTTGGACGCACGGGGATCGTGGTGAGTACCTTCGTGCGCGTGCACTCGTCCAGGCTCACTGCTGCTCCTGCGGTGGCGGTGGCGCCCACCGGCCGGCAGGTGGCGGCGCTGCAGCTCAGGCGCCCGCGGTCGCTCCGGCCGCAGGGCGTGCTCAACGTGGCGGTGACGCTGCTGGGCGCCGCCCAGGCGCGCGCCGTGGCGCCCATCTACCACATGCCGGGGTCCCCGGACGCGTTCGCCATGAAGGACCTCGTGGCGATGAGGCCGGCGCCGTTCCTGTCAGAGATCACGGAGGAGGGCGCGGCCGAGACGAGGGATCTGGAGTACTACGCGCGCCGCCAGCGGCCGTTGGTTGAGCACTCCGGGCCGCTGGACCCGAGGGGCGCCGCCATCGAGCAGAGCAAGCTGGCCATGAAGCTGGAGAAGTGGAGGGTGGATCTGTCCCCGGACCACGGGGATCATGACGGTCGCGGCGGCGGCAAGTCAGGGAGGTGGCTGCGCCGGACCTCCTGCTTCGGCCGCCAGGAGAGCTGGGAAAGGTAACCGGTGATCAATCAATCAAAGCGGCCGGGTGGCATGGCTGGCAGGATGTGGGTAGTACAAGAGAGGTCGATTGCTTGCCAAATAAGTTCTTTTTTGCTCGCTATGAACAGTTTAATTTGTTGTTTTATTCTTATCACATCATGTAGCACAAATAGCAAGAGGAAGAAATTTATTTTAGACCCTCGAATTACTTCAAATTAACTTTCGACCACAAAGAAAGTAAACCACCCACATCCCTTCTCCGAATCGGAATCGATTGATGCATGCCAACATAGTTCAGAGAAAGACATGATCGTTGTAGGTATATACTCCAACTTATAGAAGCTAATATGTTTATTTAATTGATATTGGTTCTCTAATAATTAAAAAGGTACACTAGATTATAGTCTTTCCACCCGTTTCGGTCATCTCCCTTCAGCTTCCCACATAATATGTCCCTTTTCCTCTCTCCTTCATTAGCCTTACATATTAGATGAGAATTTAGTAGGTTCTGACACCGAAACTTCACCATCCTGAAACAAGAACCGCAACAACTTCCTAGCCCTCTCAGAGCTCAGGCACATCGGGTCGTCCATTCCGGTAGCTTGTGCCCATCATGGTGGTGAGTTCTCCAACTCATAGGGGTGATTTGGTACCATCCGTTGCCATCATCTCTGCCCATTCCATCTTTTCCATTAAAAGTTCATGACTTGTGTTCTTATTCTCCATTAACATTCATTTGAGGTTCTTGTTGAGAATGCCAATAACATGGTTCTTTTAGCTATGTTTGTTGGTGCCTCCTTTCTTTTATTTTTTGCAAATTTGTCCATTATAGGGCCTTACTCATGATGGACGAACTCCTTCGCGTTTTAAATATGATGTGGTTGTGATACAACCCTGCCCCATCATATCAATGCAAATCCCTAAGTTCTCCCACGATGAACCTGCCAACACCTATTTTCCTTAGACCTCTCTACTTGACATTACCAAGGATAGTTTGCTACCAAATGCATGGACCCTTTCTTGCTTAGGTGTGAAGGAGTAAGCATGATAGAGGTGGCAAGTAGATGCACAATCAAGCGTCCAGAACTACCAAACTTGGCACAATGCTTCTCAAGCGCCAAGCACATTTGATACTACCGAACAAAGCCTCAAGAACAACAAGACCCACCCCCGAAACCATTGAGCCGAGCAGAGGGTGCTCTCGATGGCAAGCTAATTCTAGAACTTGAAAGCACCATATCCTTGACACTACCAAACACACAACATGCCTCGGAGACTACATGCGTTGAGGACTATCGGGGTTAACCATTCGGTAGTACCAGACTTCGTTGCCTGCGTACGACCACCATGTGGCTCCACTGGATTGTAAGTTGCCTTTGGCACACTAAACGTAGGTTATGAGGATATAGACAATAAATACCCCTTCATCCCATCCTTAGGATTAGACCATGATTATCTCCTCCAAGTTTATGCGGTGCTCGCTGGGAGCAGTCTGAGGCCCTTTCCCACGAGTGGGTGACTACAGCATGGGCCTCTAAATGCTGGTTGAAACACTCTTGTGCGCACACTGCCTTATCCATCCGATCCTCTCCAATAGCTTCCTATAACCAACGACAACGGTGTCTACACGAATAGCGAGGAGGATGGCGCACCCCGTGCTTCGTTGCATCTGCATGTTGCCCGCCATCAGCCCACCACCCTCATCTAGATAGCCCTTGATATGTCGCCGCCGCTCTGGCCTTTATGTCATTCTGACTACTAGCTTCTCTCGAGGCCACCACACGCTTCTACACACCAGGCACGCACGATGTGCTTGACCTTGCTACCACTCATGGTTCTTGCTCCTTTGTTTTTCTATCGCAGAGCCCACGTCATTGTCAACTGAATTCCCGCGGTCTATGAGTCGGCGCGTGCCCTCAATGCTTTGCTTCTACACCATGGCCCCACTATTCTATCAATCATTGCTCGCTTTGCTCTTTGTTGTTGTCAGCAACCAGAAAGGGAAGGACTTGTGTTATATCCATCTCTTATCCCCTGCCATGGAGGATATCCACACGATGAGGGCCTCCCAAGTGCAGCTTGTGGCACGTGAGGCCGGAGGAGGGTGATCAGTAGCTGAAGACGGAGGCAGCTTGGTCCTGCTCACTGACCATGGCGGCACAACCCAGCCTTGCGTCGCCACCAATTGCGACTTGGGTATTCAATTCAACCACATCCCTTTTCTCCCTCAATGTCAAACTCCTTCCTCTGCTGATAATCATTAACATGGGACCTTGGTACCTCACGAACTGTGGTGTCACATTCAATGTGTTGTCCAGCTATTGTTCTCGTGATGGGTACCCCCTAGTAGATGCTTCTACGTGGACGGGAAGGGCCTCTCAGCGCTCCATAGGATCAAGGCAACAACATTAACATCCACCAATTCTTAGATGTTGACCTTGCACTTGTCTTTAGCCAACAATGTATTCATTTGTATGCATGCCTCCATTCTTGGATGATTGCAGCGAGCTAGAAATTGAACATATCCTTCATCTTAGTTTGGATTATTTGTTATCCGTCGAGTGAATCAGATAAAGATAAAGGTAGTCGTGTGCATGTTTTATTGTCTTCTCCCTTTTGATATAATAAGGTTGTAATATGCTTGATCTTAGGAATGTGTGTCCTGGTCTCATTGTTTTATAAATTGTGCATGCTGCTTTTGCACATGATTTTGGTAAATTTACATTTTATAGTATTGCCTATCATCATTTTTGTGTGGTTCATTGTACATGTAGTTGACTGTAGAAGCTATTCAGGTGTGAAGTCACTGTTTATGGAATAGCACCAAACCAAACCATGTGATTGTTATCATGTTGTGAAAGCACCTGATAATCAATTGCACATGGTGATGCTTATATGTTTATTAACAATGCTTGTGCTAGTGAGACTACGTGCAGATATCTTCTTTGCTCTGTACATAGAGTGATGACTACGATAGAAGTTGAGCCTATGGTTCAAAAAATAGAGAGAAAACAATCCCTGCCCATCAGATTGGAGTTGGATGCTCAAGGCACTTAAGTGGGTACATTAGTGGGGAGTAACTTAGACTAGTATGTTACTAGTCTATGTTACTACCTCTATAGTGGGTAGTAACATATATGTAGTGTCATGCACCACTTCATTTATTACCTTGTATTAGTATTTTACATTGGGAACCGCTATGTGATGGTAACATATTATGTTACTCTATTTGTCTCTCCATCCTCTTTAATTACTTGCAACATCACTTTTTTTTGCTTATGTGGCATTCATGTTCCTATATTACTTCCACCACTAGCCTTACGACTCCCGACCCCATCCACACACTATAGTTTTTTTATGAAAATCCTTCATTCAGAATGTCATTTAAATTAAAAATGGGAGGATCTCCATCCCAAACATAAAAGGAACTAGAATCAAAAGCATTTCTAGCTAGTTTATACGCCACTTTATTGACTTCCCTTAGGCAATGATGAATAGAGATTGTGCCAAGGCTCTGAACCACCTCACTGTAGTTATATATAAAACATAACATTCGCAATAACCACATCAAGTATCATGTATCCCACTCCAATTGTTATGTCAACGACCTTTCACAGATGTGTGCGTAGTGACGATGTCCCTTATCCTCTTACTTAAAAAGAATGAATCTTAATTTGCACATGTATATCTTTCATACCTAAATAGCTAGCCCCCACTAACATATTTCTCTCAGCATACAAACATGTCATCTCATCATTCAACATGCATACAAAAAGGCTCACAAAACATGCAACTATGCATATTAAAAATCCACTTCAACATGCAAACATGCATGCATGTACAATTCCATTCTATTATGATATTTAAATCCAATTATTTTATACTTTCAAAAACTATTATTTCAAATATTCTTGTTCCATATAACCAAAACTTCATTGAAATATTGCAAAACATTCCTGCAACAACATGCGGGGCACCATCTGGTTTTATAAAATATTATACCTATATATCGGAGAAAAGTACACTTTTCGTCTCTTAATTCCCCGGTAAAATAAAATGATAGGACCATTTAGTTACGTACATCCCATGCCCAAGATCAGTGCCACGTGGGCTAGGCCACCTAAAGTCACATCCGGAGGTCGCAACCATTGGCTTGAAGTAAGTTCGATTGCATATTGAAAGAATGAAGTGAATTTGGTTTCTAACGACGGCATTTTTCTTGTTACATATGAGCTTAGCTTTGGCGGCAATATCGATCAATCTAGTGGGTAGTAATCATCATGATCGTGCATTCTTAAAAAGTTGATCCCAATTTTTTTAACATGCAAAGTGTCCACCTCAACATCCCACTAAGCCATGCATTTAAGTCTTATGTCCCACTAAGCCAATTAAAATCAGCCACATAAGCGAGTCATGCATTTAACTTATAAATTACAATTATTTTAATTGCATTAGTCTATGCATGTAAGCTGCCACATCTTACATTCATGTTATCATGTAACTCCGAAGTTTTTATTCTACTTTTAAACACTTTTTTTATTAATTTTTAAGCTCACTTCAACGTCCTACTAAGTCATGCATTTAAGTCTTCTCCCCCACTAAGCCATGCAAAATCAACCACATAAGCAAGTCATGCATTTAACTTATAAATTACAATTGTTTTCAATTGCATTAGTCTATGCATGTAACACTGCCACGTCATACATTCATATTAGACATTCTTCACATTTTTTTAAATGACATTTTTAACTGTAATTCAAAAGTTTTTATTTTACTTTTAGACTCTTTCTTTTATTGATTTTTAAGCTTATACTTTCTTTTCATTAGATATAGTTATTTTTAGCAACAATTTACATATTTTTTTAATAAAGTTACTGCAACAACGCGTGGGGCATTATCTAGTTAAAGCAATTTGTGTACCGGAAATAGATAATGGGCCTCGGGTCCCATTACACCCAAATTAAAAGAAAATATTAGAAAGTTCAAAAAGAGTCAAAAATTCCTTAATCTTTTTGGAATCAAATATGATCAAGTATTACACTCTTGTGAAGGACTACCTTCAATCGACTCCACGGCCAAGAAAACAAATTTGAGATTACAAAAAGCATGAATAGTAACTTATGTATAGTGTCGAGTTTGTTTGTTTGTTCGCCCAGAATACCACAATAGTCATTCCTCTATGAAACTTTTCACACGAGTATTGCGCTAGATCATGTCCATTGCAATAAAGTTTTATAAATTCCTGACTCTTTTTGAGTTTTCTAAAACTGTTTTTCCATTTCGAGTGCATTGGTCCCATGTTCCAAAGATCCGCGTTGAGGACTAAAAAGAAAAATATCCTCCTTAATTTGTGTACACTCTTTATATTTTCCGAAAGAAAAAACGATCTAGAGGAAAAGGGCATAGAAAACGCTGTCCACGTCATCAGCCGGACGTGAGCACGTCAGAGCAGAGGCATGAAACCAGCCATATTGGGCAGGGACGCGTGAAGCTTGCATGCATGCACAACTTTTGCAGCTCCGTCGATGAGTGCTCTAGACGGCAGCTACACTACATATACCCCGTACCGCTCGTTCCATAGCTCATCAAGCAACTCCATCGGCCACTCCACCAACAACACATTACAATGGACGCCCAGAACAGGGAGGTGGACGCCCTGGTCCAGAAGATCACCGGCCTCCACGCCGCCATCGCCAAGCTGCCCTCGCTCAGCCCGTGCCCCGCCGTCGACGCGCTCTTCACCGACCTGGTCACCGCGTGCGTGCCCCCGAGCCCCGTGGACGTGACCAAGCTCGGCCCGGAGGCGCAGGCGATGCGGGAGGGCCTCATCCGCCTCTGCTCCGAGGCCGAGGGGAAGCTGGAGGCGCACTACTCCGACATGCTCGCCGCCTTCGACAACCCGCTCGACCACCTCGGCGTCTTCCCCTACTACAGCAACTACATCAACCTCAGCAAGCTGGAGTACGAGCTCCTGGCGCGCTACGTGCCCGGCGGCATCGCCCCGGCCCGTGTCGCCTTCATCGGCTCCGGCCCGCTGCCGTTCAGCTCCTACGTCCTCGCCGCGCGCCACCTGCCCGACACGGTGTTCGACAACTACGACCTGTGCGGCGCGGCCAACGCCCGCGCGAGCAGGCTGTTCCGCGCGGACAGGGACGTGGGCGCCCGCATGTCGTTCCACACCGCCGACGTCGCGGACCTCACCGACGTGCTTGCTACGTACGATGTCGTCTTCCTGGCCGCGCTCGTGGGCATGGCGGCCGAGGACAAGGCCAAGGTGATCGCGCACCTTGGCGCGCACATGGCGGACGGGGCGGCCCTCGTCGTGCGCAGCGCGCACGGGGCGCGCGGGTTCCTGTACCCGATCGTGGATCCCCAGGACGTCGGCCGAGGCGGGTTCGAGGTGCTCGCCGTGTGTCACCCCGACGACGACGTGGTGAACTCCGTCATCATCGCGCAAAAGACCAACGACGTGCATGAGTCTGGACTTGGCAACGGGCGTGGTGGACGGTACGCGCGGGGCACGGTGCCGGTGGTCAGCCCACCCTGCAGGTTCGGCGAGATGGTGGCGGACGTGACCCAGAAGAGAGAGGAGTTTGCCAACGCGGAAATGGCCTTCTAATCGCTGCGAGGTCATCATCCGTACGCCACTGCTAAATCGCTTTGCAACCGTATGTGGTAATTTTCCTACTCCTACTACTTTTTACCCACCTATATGTACGCATTTCAAGTCATGTGTTGTCTGTATCCAATGATGTAAGTGTGGTGTTTACACGCGCATGTATTGTACACTCGATCTCTAAAAGACAAGGCAGATCAGGATAGTGTGCAACGGAACAATATGTGTTGTTGTTGTAGTTGTATGAGTTGGTGATTATCGCTCTCAAATACAATGTACTCGGTGTCTTATTCATACCCAAGTACATTTGTCCGGCTGTCAAGTTGCTTGCTAAGGCCCTGTTCGGAGCACCACAACTCGACTTTCGGAGTTGGTGGAGTTGCAGTTGAAAACTACGGAGCAACTATTTCCTGGCTCCACAGCTTCTGAAATTTTATGGAGCCGGTGGAATTTCGAACAGGTCTTAAGTCTGACGGACAATGTAGTACGTTGCTTTTGACCTCTAAATATGTCCAAGGCTTGACAAGCTCTGTCAGGGGGTCAACTTCATGATTTGTGTTGAAGGCGTCACCGTTTGCCTGGGAGATTGATTATGTAAATCGGAGTGTTTGATGTGTTATAAGGCGTGACCGTGATGAACCTTATCGGCATTGTTCACTTTATATACTAGTACAACACGCATATTGTGTTGTACGAATGACTATGACCCTACTTGAGATCTCATCCCCTATCCTATGGGGCATACCACGTAGGACGGTCAACGTAAGTCAAAACGAGTGAACGAAAGGGAAGTCTAGTCAATATGGTCAATAATAATCCAAGAAAGCACCCGTGGGTACAAGCAAGCCACCCCTATCGACGAAAGTCCAGTCAAGCCTTCATGGTTAACAAGTCCCAAAAAAATAAAGACCACGTAAAAGAATAAGTGAAAGCAAAAAAAAGACCATACGAAAGAATAAGTGTAAGATCAACATAAAGGAGCAAAGAAGCACAAAACCCAAGCAAGAAGGCCTTTGTATGGTGGAGAGAATCTCTCCCTAAATGGGCCTCACACAAAAGCCCTATTGATATTAGGCAGTAGTATCAATAGAGTTTATGCACATCCTCCTCTCAAAACCAAGCCCTTCTCGCGGGGAGTTGATTCAAGACCTTCTTAGAATAAGAATCTTTCATCTTGTTGAAACTTCCTCTTGGATCGTGAGAATCACCGAACCGGGTGTAGTGAATTTTGATTTCAATCCAGAGTGTTTGTGGCTTGAGTTATATCTCAAAAGGCTATGTGTCACTGAATCTCATTATTGAGTAGGCATCACTAGTTATCTCTTCAATTTGTGAACATCGGGACTAGGTGCGGTATCAGATTGTACAGTGATATATTCTTCTTAGCTTGATGTTATATTTTAATGGAATACGATCCAAGATGATGCCACACATGATGGCCACAACAACAACAACTATGATATCTCGTATTTTAATGTTGTCCTCTTCAACTAAGTTTTATTATGCCTTTGGTGGTCTATTGCCACGTGCCCTTAGCTAGGGGTGTCGATAAGATATACTTCTTTTCTCTTTGTGTCACTTAGGGTTTGAAATTGGCCTTTTAAGAAGCACCATGTCCATCCGTAAACTCAGTTTTTTTGTGGGGCATCCGTAAACTTAGTTATTCCATAAGTTTGAAGCTTGTGTCTGATCATAGATGTGATTTACCGTATTTTATCATTTGCAGAGTCTGCATATCAAAACTAAATTCAGTTCAAAACATTGCCAAAAGTCTATGCAAGACACATGTTGGTGTTTTTTGATTTTTATATAAACCGACACCCCGTTCTAAATAGAAAACGAGTACTACCTCTGTAAACTAATATAAATTCAGTTCACGGAGGGAGTATTACATGAGATCCATCTACAACCAAAACCAAACTCACAATAAATCTTCTCCTTTATGCTCACCTTTTTGGAACTTGCAAGTTGTAGTTTATTTTTGAGAGAAAAATGCAAGTGGTAGTTCAAAAACAAAAAGGTGGAAAGGAAAGCAAGAACCACGCCGAAGGGCCCACGTGTCAGCGGCCCGTACTAAACCACCTCCCCTTATCCCCTCTTCCACCGTCCCCCGCTGCTTGGCCCTGTGCCGCTCCACATCACCCCGAGCTTCGTGACCCCCTCGCCCGCGCTCGCAGCCTCGCAGCACCGCGCGGCCGGGCGCCATGGCGCACTCCTGCCTCTCCGCGGCGCGCACGGCGGCGGCGCTGCGCCTCCCGTTCCAGGCCGATCACGCCGCGTCCGCGTTCCCCCGCCCGGCGCGCGCGTCGTCGTCCCGTCCGCACGCGCACCGGCTCATTGCCGCCGCGCCCGTCGTGCCGGTGCCGCGGGGGAGCAGGCGCGCGCTCTCCGTCGTCGCGTTGGCGTCGCAGGAGGAGGCCACGGCTGTCGAGGAGGCGCAGGAGGAAGAAGTAGTACAGGAAGAAGCCGCGGGGCAGCTGGAAGAGGAGGAGCCAGCAGGGGAGGTCGAGGAGCAGCAGCCGGAGGAGGAGGAGCAGGGTGCGGCCGCGGAGGCGAGCTCGGACGGCGGCGAGGAGGCTAGTGGTGATGGAAGCACCGGCACCGGGAGCAGCGCCACCAAGCTCTACTTCGGGAACCTGCCGTACAACTGCGACAGCGCGCTGCTCGCCGGCATCGTGCAGGACCACGCCGTCCCGGAGATGGTCGAGGTACGCGCGCGCACGCACGCTGTTTGCTGAAATGGTTACCTTAATTCCACATACATGATCAGATCACTATTTTGACTAGAGCTCATCCGGCATCCTACTTAGCCTGCATGATTGATCTTGATCTCAAACGTCTGCATTGCGTTTTCAGGTGCTGTACGACCGGACGACGGGGAGGAGCCGGGGCTTCGCCTTCGTGACGATGAGCACGCTCGAGGACTGCGAGCGGGTCATCAAGAACCTCGACGGCACCGTGAGCACTCTGCTCAATCTATCTACCATCACTCCTCACAGTGCTGCAATGGAATTCATGATCGATTTTACGTTTCGGTTGTTCTTTCAGCTGTACAGCGGGCGCACGATGAGGGTGAACATGGCCGACAGGCCGAAGCCGAAGGCGCCGCTGTACCCGGAGACGGAGCACAAGCTCTTCGTCGGCAACCTGTCGTGGACGGTCACCCCGGAGATGCTGACCGACGCGTTCCAGCGCTGCGGCAACGTGGTCGGCGCCCGGGTGCTCTACGACGGCGAGACCGGCCGCTCCCGCGGCTACGGCTTCGTCTGCTACTCCACCAAGGAGGAGATGGACCAGGCCATCGAGACGCTCAACGGAACGGTAAGAAACACTGCCTGACACCATCTCCCTTCATGTTTGGTACATGAGAAGCTGCAGATGTGCATGTCTTGGTACAAGCTACTGAATTGTTTCCTAATGTGGTGATGATCACTAACCTGACACTAGTACCTGCAAACCCTTCAAATGCAGAATGTGGCAAGATGAACTCTGTTTTGTTAACTAACTTGGTTCTGCTTGGAAATTCATTTTTCACAGGTCCAATAAAAATAATCAGATTTCATGACATAACTGAAGTTAACTGAATAACAACGCGTCTTGCAGGAAATCGAAGGCAGGGAGATCCGGGTCAACTTGGCCCTGGGGAAGAGATACTAGAGAGCTGGATTGTTTCTTCACATTGGAGAAACTCGCATCGGGGTTTATGCAATGCTTCCTCGCAATGCAGATCACGGAGCAGCAAATAAGCCATCGATTGCTCGTGGGAGCGCATTCCGAGAGCAGTAACACATGGTTCTTGCATCGCCTGATCTGATATGCCAACATGGTGTATATTTGGTGGCTTCGTTCGTCGAGATGGAGCGGGGGAAAGCCTTACTTTTCTAAAAGAAAACTTGATATGTATTTTTTTGCGAGGGAAGATTGATATGTATTTAATGATGTGAAATTGTGACTGAAAATTATTGGGGTTGCTGGTGAGCATATATTTCCATGGTTCCATGATCTTGGAACCGCATTCTTTTAGATCCGCTTGCAACTTGGTTTTATGTTTTTCTCACAAATTATTGGGCTGAGGATGATAGAGTACCTAATTAAGTGTACATATTTGTCCGAGATGGATCCGTTACCATTCTTTCTACTAGCAGTTATGCCAGATTCATGTGAACACTAAGCTGTTGTTTGGAGAATCAACTCAGACTTTTTTTTCCAATTCAACATTGTCAATGCATATTGCAACTGCAAATGTAATATACACTGCAATACTAATTTTCTGAGAGATGATATAATACATTAGAGGCAAGAGTACAAAGACACATACACAAACATCAGAGCACCATGAAGCTCGTAAGTTGTAAGTATTGTGACAGATCATTTACGACGGTGACAATTTTCTTCCACCTTTTCTTGGTTTGATGGCGACCACACCACGCGGATAGAGGCTAACAAAGTAGCAAAGTTTTCTTTTCATTGGCGTATTAAGGGGAATTTGGGGGAAAAGACAACTTCACAAAAAGGAAAGAAATAAAAGAACAAATGAAGTGAAATTAGCTCATAGCTGCTTTTATGTTTTGATTGGATTTTGTCGTTGGTGTTGTACAATGCATGCACGGCGGGGGTGAACATCAGCGACAAGTCAAAGACAATGCCGCCCCAACAGATGGGACACAAGCTCTTAGGCCTTCCACTATGTAGGCCAAAAGCGGTGCTAAATTTGTTTTTTTGGGTATTTGGCACCGATGCCCTACATTGCCCAAGCGATGGCAAACAAAAATTTCTGGGTACCGGAGCACCTACTTGCTTTGATGCCAAATCCTTCCATGCAATAAAGTAAACCATGTCAGCCCATGCAACAGCCAGGAAGGGACGCTGGAAGTGGGGTGGCCAAGGCTGATTTATACTAGTTTATATGAGTGGGCTTGAGTTCCAATCGATGCCAGATTCTTCGACATTGTGTGATCGGTGCTAAATTATTTTCATCTGACATCTATATGTATGTGACATATTTTTCAGAGTTTTGGCACCAGATACATAGTGGAAGGCCTTAGTAACCAATCTGTCCAAGACGGTTTCCCTGGAGATGCTCACCATTGAGTTCCAATGGTGCCAAAAACATAATTGGTGTCCGAGTGCTCTGACGGTAAGACCGACCAGTCCCGTCGCTATGCCTTGTCAGCTTGTCAATGCATAATTTATGTTGTGCATACATGTATCCATAGTTGAGAAATGTAGTGCTGGAGGTCATCAAATGATCCGCCGACAGAACCCCTATGAATTAAGTTGGTGTGCCATAGAATTTAAACGAATGATATCGACACGCTCAAATGAACGGTAAACCAGTCCTACATTCTTACCATATCTATTTCGTTTGCTACATGAGAAACTACATATGTGCAAGCTAGATGCAAAACTTCTAAATTTCTTTTATAGTACTACTAACATTAACATAACAACCGTGCATATTCAAACCTTTTCTAATGCAAAAAAAATGCAGCAATGGACAATTTTGGATCTATTTTCCAAGTTGAAATATACTTTCTGAACTAGTAATATCACATCTCACAGACAAAATAAGAACATAACTAAATAACACATGTTGTAGGAAATCATAGTTAGGGATATCCGGCACAACTTAGTCTTTGATAAAAAAAGACATTAGAGATTAGTTGTTTCTTCACATAGAAAACCTTTCAAAAGGTTTCTGCGATGCTTTTATACCATAAAAATCACAACTTAGGTGATACAATTATTCTTGTGAATTACAGACCAGTAGACTAGACATTCATTTCTTGTTTGAGCACACTGCAAGAGCCACAACGGGGACGATATGTTCATTCAAAGTTATAACATGGTCGACGGATGTACCAATTGATATATGTCTAATGCTGCGGAATTAGATTCTATTGCCTCATTCTCTCCATACGACATTGTTTTGATCTCCTTACAACTTATTTTGTTCTTGTTAAACGATGGGTTGGCTAAACATATACTATATTGAGTGGACATGATGAATCAAGACTTTACTCAATATACTCCAATCATTTCATAATTTTACGAAATTTAAACTATTATTTGTTAAATTACTAAACACAATAATGTTCACAGATTGCTTATGCCATTGTGATACTAAACTTTTAATATATCATATTACATCAAAAAGCAAATAAAACAATTCTTTTAACTACTCGCACATCATCATATGACATTTTAAAATTTTATTTATTATCCATGAGGGTCACGCCTACCGGTGTTTTGCTAGTCATATCTTTTATCAAATGTTAAAATTTACATTTTTTTCATGGAAAACCTACAAAATTGGGTGTCAATTCCATGAGTTAGTGTGCGCACGCTTCATGGAGTAGACAGATGGCACGAACAATCAGGACATAAACATGGATCTCGTCGGCGAAGCTGACCCAAATTTGTCGACACGAGGTTATGCCACACTATTTTGACTAGCTTAGATCCTGATTGTGTGATATACATCATAACGAATGATCTTCCGTTCGGTGAAAACTAAAGAAAACCTGTTTAACAAAACTTTATTTCCAATACGATGGTGAGTTGGTGACCATACTCACCAAGCCACGAGAGATGCACATAAGCTAAGGTCATCTTGGATGGCTAAATTTCAAAACATGAGAATATCCAAAACATGTGACTGGGCTTATGTGCAGTGGCGGAGCCAGGATTGGCTGACACCCCAGGCGAGAAACTAAGGGCTAAAAGCTACCTAAAAAAAATTCCAGTTTCAACGCATACGAAAGTCAATTTATGTTGCATAACTAATAATACACCAAACATAATATTCCATGGCAGCATTTGTTCCATGATGGGTCAACTAATAAAGCAAGATAAATCAAAAGACAATATGTAGCATATATAGATGATCCAAAAGATTAATACCAAATCAAAGGATTGGTTGATCTGACCCTCCCATGACAACATCTTCAATAGTCCAAGAAGCTAAACCTTGAATGATAAATTTTGAAATGCAAATCAGTGCATAATAAAGAAAGCAAAAATAGTTCATAATAGATGTGCTGCGGCTCGCCGGACGCCGGGTAGCCTGCCGCCTCACCGAGGTCGCTGCCTCGTCGGACAGGGCAGCAGCCCGCAGCACCGCAGCGGCGCAACCTGATGCGCAGAAGGGGGTCGAAAGGGACGGAGCTGGCCGGCAGGGTAGGCGGCGGGCGGCGCCTAGAGTTCGTCCAAGTCAGGGGAACGGGCTGCGGGTGGCTGGCTGGTTCGTGTTCGTCCAAACTCGAAGTAGACGCACAGGCAGGCCGCAGACAGATGAGGCAGGCAACGAACGAGATGGGCCTCACGCCCCAGGCAGCCTTCGTTGTTCTACAGTATATTTGCTACAGTGTACGAGCGAGATGGGCCTCACGCCCCAGGCAGCCGCCTGGGCTGCCTGGGGCCTGTCTCCGCCCATGCTTATGTGTGTGGATTAACGTATGGTTTAAAAATGTATGAATACTTCAAATGGTGTACTCGAATGGTACCCATGGGATAAATAAGGAACTTTAGAGGAACAAAAAGATCTGAACGTGATAGAGCAAAATCTGTCACACTCATGAAGTGAAAATATTGTTTGAGCCCATGTATATTTGGCCATCTATATAAATTCAACCTGTGCCTTGTAATCCCAAGGGATATTATATAGTTTTTTAATTCTAACCTTATAAAAAATCCTACAATCCAAAGGAGTCATCGAGAAGCTACAAAAGCTTTTTTTTACTAAAAGTATTGGTAACAGAGATACAACAATAGAGATAAAAAAGAAAAACAACTAAAAGATTACCAAATCAAGCCGGAGCCACTGGTGTGAGTGACATGTCTCCTCTTCGTTGGCGCGACGAGGAGCAACCAAAGCCACCATTGCCCACAACATCCAAAGTGGGACAAAAAAAGCATGAGAATTTCCCACAAAAAGTGTTGGTAACATGAAAGAAAACAGAGATATTTTTATTGTTGTCCAAAAAAACAAAAATAAAAACAAATCAAGCGGGAGCCACTGGTGTGGTTTGAGCGTGACATGTCTCCTCGTTGGCGCGACGAGGGACAACCAAACCACCGGTGTCCACCAGACCACCACATCCTCCCAGCCCGACTACGAGAGGAGGGGCAGCCTCCTCCCTGCCGCACACCACCACTCCTCACCGCACGCACGCACGCACGCCTGAGCCGATCGAGCAGACGCGCGCGAGCCCCACACACCTCGCCGCCGGCCATGGCCATCTCCGCCACCTCCAGCCTCGCGCTCCACGCGGCCCCGTCCGCCGCCCGGCGCCGCATGCGCAGCGTCGTCGCCTCCGCAACGAGGTTCGACCGGCGCTCGGCCGTGCTCCTCCTGCTGTCGGCCGCGGGTGCCGGGTCGTCGTTGGCGGCGGTGGCGCCGTCCGCGAACGCTGCCGGCAGCATCGGGCTCTTCGGCATCCGGAAGAAGCTGGAGCGGGCGGAGGAGGCCGCGCGGGAGGTGGGCGAGGCCGCGGTGGAGGCCGTGGAGGCCGGCGGGGAGGCGGTGGCGGAGGCCGGCAAGGAGGTCGCCGGGGAGGGCATGCAGCTGGCCGCCGAGGCGGGGCTCGCCGGCGACGCGCTCGTGCAGGCCGGCGTGGTCGCCGGTGCCGAGGCGCTCGGGGTCTTTGTGGGCTTGTCCGTCGTCAACGGCATCCTCAAGCCCGAGGCCTAGAGAAGGATTCGGCCCGTAGTATTTTTGCTGGCCCATCCGGTGTTTGGGTTTAGTGCTTACAGAAGGAACTGGCTATCATTATTTGTTCATGACTTTGTGGTGTGGTATATTTTAGTATGATTTTATAGAGTGATGGATGCTCATAGTTCAACTATGCTATGTACTGTGCAACAAGATCATGCAAATTGCTTTGTAGGGAATTTGCCCTACATTATTAATGTATAAAACTTACATTGTTTCATGATGCTAAGTACCTGTTCGGCAACTGCCCAACGCCAGAAATTCTCAAATCCAGCTCCTCGATTCGCTTCCATCTTCCCAACGAAACTCGTGGTTCGAAAGAACCATTCGGCAACAGAACTCCCAGATCCCCGATCGCTAGTCTTGGGCTGGTAGCCGCTTAACATGTTAAGCACTTAAGCTCGATTCTAGCATGGTAGGGAGGAAAGGTACTTGCTTCGTTCTTTTCTTCCCTGGTACGAATCAGTTTTCTTTCACTTTGCGGTGGTAGCTCTCCATAAATAATGTGAATTCCTTGTTTTGCAACTCATGGGACCGCCAAAACACCAGCTCCTCATTTTTGCACTACAACCCATCTTAGATTTGTGAAACTAACTTCACGGAGCTGACCTGTTTGGCCCAGCTTCGTCTGCTGACTTAGAGAAGCCAGGAGATGGGCAGTTGCCGAATAGGTCCTAAGAGTATGATTAGACACTCTGAAAACAGAACAACTTGTGATGGTTTGATAACAATTGTAATGGAAATGAACCAAGTGGAGCTTTTTTGAGGAAAATGTGAGATATATTAATCATATAGGTTTACAATCTACAGTGATAGTAGATGCTACATTGGGTAGGACACCATCGTTCCAAAATGACAATTAGCTAGCCCATCTTCCATCTCTTTGACAATAAGTAATCGCAACCCTTCTAGCTCAAATGCCGCCTTCTTAACATGTTAAAAAGAAAACCATGACGCAATCGAGAAATGTCTTACATATCAAGAGCTCGGTATGCCAACATATAGGTGATAATGGTAGAATAATAACATTTCTCACCCTTCGAAGGCTCTTCAGGCGAGTGAGAAGTTTCACTTCTTCTGCATCACAACATGCATCATGAATAGTCGCAAAGATGAACATGCGTCCTATCCCACACCTCTAAAAGCAGTCCATCCGGAGATAGAAGGAACGACCTGTCCACATTTATCTTGGCGCACTCAGTTTGGGTAGTGTCCAACATACTAACTTGCCATGATTTTGTGTCCCCCACCATGTGTGATACAAGATTCACAAGGTGATAACTGGTTGATAGAACTTACTCCCGTTGGGTTCAAACATCCAAGGCTACATTCAAAAACTTAGTTTTCCTGGAGTTTTAGGAGAATATTGTGTTTTTTGAAAGCATGGTCTCAAATAATTTGATGTGTTAATGGTGCTGGTGCCCGAGGCATGCATTCTAGTCACATCATCATGACTGACAGGATGTGGCCTTGATGGGGCTCATGACACACACATCATCTTGACCAGCAGTCAGCAGGCCCGAACTGATTTGGCTTAATCAGCTTGGACCGGAGCCTAGCCCTCGTAAGTGTTTCGTGGAAAATCGACCCCCGAAAAACTAGCTTCGCTGGGAAAGTTCTCCATGAGGATTGGCTATCTACACCAAAAACTCAAGATCGGATGCGGCTGTCGTTCAGATGGGCCAACCGAATTGAGGAAGCATAATAGCCGAATAAGATGGGCCAATAAGCACTGCTTGTTTTAAAGAACTGAGCCATGCATAACTACTTTTAACAGAGCTTCATGAACTGGTTGCGACCTCGACAAGCTTACAAAATTGACATCTACATGTTGGCCCCGTCTGAAATGCAACCAAACTCGAAGATCGGTTCAGGGGCCGTTGACAGTGTTACGGTTTAGGGGTGCCTCATCTACTGAAAGACGACCTGAGTAGGCTAGCCCAGGCTCCTTAGGTCGGTTTAGGCCCTGGGTTAACACCCTACCCCATGGGCCCCACGGAGAGAAGGATTCGAAAGGCTTGGAGTGTACGGAAAGGAAGTTGGCATCCAGGAGGACCTCCCGCAAGCCTAACCAACTAGGACCATGTAAATTCCTGGAGCCCGGTATCCATATAAGATGGGGTAGGACTAGTTGATAGGGATAGAACCTTAGAGATTATTTTCAATCCCTTGATCATCATTGTACACACCTATAGACCAAAATTAATAAATACGAGCATGAAGTAGGGTTTTACCTCCACCTTGACAGTCTGAATCGTGTAACACATCTCATGTTTCCCCTCCGGTCTACTCGCCTATCTGATATAACCTATCGAGGGATTTGCCAGAAATAACTCCAACATACATGAATAAATATAATGGTTTTATAAACCGTAGTATCCCCACTACCTTTTTTTGTAGTATTTGTAAAAGATGTCTGGATCACTTTTTTCTAAACCTAGTAAAGAAATTATGGTTTCTTCAAGAAGTGTAGAAGCCTAACACACACGACATGGTCCTCACTTGGTAGCTACCAAAAAACCTCAACTCATCTTATAATCGAACACAGTGTGTGTAAATACTTTCTTTTGTGCTTTTCTTTCAAATAGGGCGCATTGCGTCTTCTTTGTATTATAATTGTCAAGTGAGCTCCTAAAAGAAATATTGACCGTCAAACAACATTAGGTGTTCTATAAGACCTTGTCCATCATCTATGTCTTGAATTCACAAGACTACTCTACTTGCTCAATACAGTCCTCCGGTATTTACCCTGATAAAGACCATAACACAATTCAATGTCACTTTGTTCAAAAATATAAAAAAAATAAATATTTTAATATGGACTACATACAGACTGAATTGCGTGAACCTATACATTAAAATGCACCTATATACACATCTGAATTAAAATGCATCATTTTCTCTCTCGAATATTCATGTTTAGTATACCACATATTCTCTCGTATATTTCTGACGTGGCAACTCAGAAAAACGAAATCAGATTTGTGCCCAATTCTATTGGAAGAGAAGTGATAGCGTGGGCCCACAGCCTTGTCGGCAAAGACGTAAAACAAAACGAAAAAAAGAAGTGAGGAAAAACAGTACTCCTGTTTCAGAACCAATGGCCACCGCCGTGCTCCGCTGCCCGCTGCTCGCCTCGCCTCTCCCGGCCGGCGGCGGCGCCGCCGCCTCGTGCTCAGGCTCCTCCCGCCCCACGCGCTTCCTTCTCCGGCGGCGAAGGTGCCCGAGCCCCCTGCTCGCCGTCTCCTCCGACTCCTCCAAGCCCCTCGCCTCCTCCTCGACCGGCGGCGGCGGCGGCGACCCCGACGAGGAGCCCGTCCTGCCCCTCCTCCAGGAGCTCGCGGTAAGCCGCTCGCCGTACCTCCTGCATTGATTCCAAGATTTGGTGGATTGGTTTTGATTGCGTTGTTTTGTTGGCAGGATTGCTTGGTGCTCCCGCCCAAATTCCTGTCCCTGCTGCCCCGCGACCTTCGCCTCGATGTAAGCAGTCACTGGCCCCTTCTCAGCTCCGATCCAAGCTCATCTGCACATTTGCTACGGCTATTTGGTTATGAGCTAAGATAATCAGTTAACAACTGTACACTCACTGAGGATAATCACAGTGAGCGTCAGAATGTGGCTGGCAAAAAGTTGCCAGTCTTATGCTGAAGCTGAGGCTCACCATTTGTTCTTTGACTACTTTTACCTAGTGGCTAAACAAATGTGGAACTTGGTTGGGTACATGCCAAGTCAAGTTATCACGTGGTTCAGAATTATGGCTATGTAACACATACTGAAATCTGTAGCACTACGGTGAGTTTGAACCGTAGTCACAACTTCTAGTTTGGTTAATCCATTCAACAATTTCTGCTTGATTTTTCTTGAAGCTGAATGACGCGGCATTCGATCTCTCCAACGGGCCTGTTCTCAATGAGGTACGTACCTCAGAATTCAGTGATTCAATCTAACAAACATTGGAGTTCTGTTTTGGTGCAACCGTGTCCAACTATTGTTGTTTGTTTGCTGGGAGACAGTGTGGCCAAGAAGTCGGTGATCTGCTGCTGGACCTGGGAAAAGCATGGGAGATGGCTAACACAGAAGCATCAAATAACCTTGCCAAGCAGCTGCCGTCGATGGCGCCCTACTTGACTGCCAGCGCGAAATCAGGCACGGATCTCATCTGTATTTTGGTAGGATTTGTGTTCTACATGACATGGTTTCTTGACTGAAGGTTGTGTTGCGTGCTGTTTTCCTTACATAGCGTAGCATTTGGCAAGCGGCTGGCATCAGCTGGAAAGAAGTTTCAGACTATGGGGCAGTACGGCAATGGAGAGTTCAAGAAGGTTAGCAAGTCACTGACCGTCTGTCCATCCTGTTCTTCTGAAATTGTTACACGTATATTTGTTTAGTGCTGAATTACGATTTGATTATGTCGCAAACATGAGTCCATGTCGTTACCATACAATTGGGGCCAGTAAGCAGGCTAATTCCATATCCAACATTTGTGTAAGATTGGTTGCAGCAGGATAAAAACATCTGAATGTTAGTGTATTAGTGACAGGAATCCAACCTGTTGGGCAGAAGAAAACTCTCAAATTCATCATGTCACGATGCTTCAGCATGGCTTCATGCTCTATCTCATTGCTAAATTACCTTGCATCATGTTCTGGTTTGTTTTCGAAAAGGTTGAGTTCATCCACACGTATCTACAAATGTACGTAACATTCTTTTATCGTATTTCTGTAGATTTCTGAAACAATGATCAAGATCGGTAAGGTTCTATCGAAACGCCCGGTGATTCAAGCTGAAGTAGAGGCCACGAAAGAAAAACGAAAGCTGAAGGTAAATTTGCTTCTCTGCACTGATCAGCTATCCACCTTCAGGTGGACTGTGTGTGTGGTTTAATCTAATACCCTTATCTTGTCAGTTTGCAGGAGCTGAATTCGAATTGACAGCACAAAATGCCTATATCGGTGCTGCAGTTGGACTGGTTTTCGGGTAAGTTCCAGCCCCATACGCCTGTACACCATCTCTTTCAGTTAACAAAACTTGTAAAGATAATTGGTTTTATTTTCTTGGTCAGCAGTTGTGCATGAATTATACTAGTGCTATATTTGCCTAAGGAACATTCCACATGTGACACTTTTGATCAACACCAATAAATAAGTAGATAGATTAACGGATATAGTTACCGGTTTCTCAAAATATTTTAATGGACACTTCTCATGTTTGGGCTGCATGCATCTCATACTACTACATTTTATATTGGATTCGATTCCATGTAAGTGATTCCTTATCGTATCCAATAGTATTATGTTAACAACAGACATTGGTCAATAGAATCATTCTATGGATATGATTCTAATGGCGTCCAGTTAATCAAGGACACATGCACATCATGCTTCACACATTAAACCGATCGATACTCAAGCGTGTTCATGACATAATCCGCCCGTGCACGCTCTTTCGTGGTGGCACAAATACTCAACCAAATGCTTGTTTGACATCCCCCTCCGATGTAGGTTTTTCTCCTGGCAGCTGGCCCAAGGCGTGCAAAGCAGTCCAGATGACAGCCAGGTAACTGAAGGCTACATAGGTTCCATTTCAATCATGTATGCTTCAGCATCCATCCTGCCACCTTCTCTGAAAGTTCTTCTTTTTCTTTCTGATGCAGCCGCTCAAGGTCCCGCTGCTGCTTCTCGGCTACACTTCGACGGCCCTGTCCGCGGCCGCGGCGGTGGGGCTCGTGGTGCTGGCTCTGCAGATGAACCCCGAGGACAAATCGGACTAACTGAACCGCCCTTCAGTTTATGAATCCGCGGACCTCGTGATGGTACCCTGAGTTGAATCAATCCTCTCTTGCCCTCTCGAAAATAGAAAGGAAACGGAATGTGCGCTGATGTGTGGACCTGTGGAGCCTTTTGTATGTACAGATAATAAAGTGTCGTGTTTGTTTGTCTGAAAACTAGTCTGTGTTCTTCAATCAAGTGAAAAAGCTGAAGCGCCTTGGCCCTGACTACTTTGCAGCTTATGCTATCAATTCTTCCGCATTTTTTGTGACTGTCGTTATGGTTAGACTATGATGCACCAATTTTTTTTTAAACCACAAGGGTTGTCGAAAGCACGACAAATTCCCATGTTCATGTGGCCAAACCCTAACATTTCCCCGCTGTATAAGAAATTGTCAGCCGAATATTGGGGATTTTATTGGTACTCCCTCTGTCCGAGAAAACTTGTCCCTTGAATGGATGTATCTAGCACTCTTGTATCCCTTCAATAAAATGAAGACAAGTTTTTTCAGACGGAGGGAGTATGTAATACTAAATTATAGTACTTGAGTGTGCTCTCAAAAAGAAAAATGGAGCCTCTGTTTTTTCTGAAATTCCAAAGCTCACCATTACTAGCCGCCCTTGTAATCCTGGCTCAGTTTTGTTCCATACGAAGCTCCACCATCTTTCCCGGAGGATTTGCCGTTAGGATCTCAGACCGATATCCCAAACCCACAGTGAGCCCGCCCGGCCCGGCCCGGCCCATCCCACCAAGCCGAAAACCACCACCACCGCTTGCCCTCCTGCTGCTCTTCTCCAGTCCACCTCCCTATCCCCACCTCCTCCACAACCCCAGCGCATCCGCCCCAACCCAAACCCCAACCCCAACCCCAACCCCAGGGGAAGAAGCGATCGGCAATGGCGTCCTCCACCCAGGGCCAGGTCATCACCTGCAAAGGTAACCCCATCTGACCCCGCTCCGGCTGGTATCTGGAATTGTTGTTTGTTCTGATCTGGAGCGGTTCCGTGCGCGCAGCGGCGGTGGCGTACGAGGCCAACAAGCCGCTGGTGGTGGAGGACGTGCAGGTGGCGCCGCCGCAGGCCGGCGAGGTCCGCATCAAGATCCTCTCCACCGCGCTCTGCCACACCGACTACTACACCTGGAGCGGCAAGGTCTCGTCCCCTCTCCCCTCCCCCTCTCTCCCTCGCTCTGCGCTTCCTCGAATCTAGGTTTCGCTGGCCGCAGTTTCCCGGTGACCCGTCGCCAGCGCCGGCACTGCTGGTAGTCACCGCCGCCCCCAACCCCAGCGACTTATCCAGTGCTGGTACTTGGATTTTTCCTCCCGTCAGTGTTAGTCCACTGGGTGCGCTTGTGTAGCGTCTTGACGAGTTAGACTGCGACAACTGAGGCTGTTGCTTTTTTTCCTTCTTCTAGATTATTATTATGAATTGTCGCGATGAGACCGAATAATTGGGGATTGATTGAATTATGTGTAGCATTGTACGGGTCATTCGTTCCTCAACGTGTGGGAATTGCTGTAGAGTGACATGACCTGGTGTACAGAAGAAAATGTTTGTACAAACCTGAAAGCCTACTGCATGCTGTAGAGATTTACTAGAATTTGTAGTCGTGTCATGAAAGGATTTTATTAATTTGCTATGCAGGATCCTGAGGGTCTCTTTCCTTGCATTCTCGGTCATGAGGCTGCTGGGTAAGCCTATAAATTTGTCAGATTTCATGTATCATCAAGCATAGCCAAGATAACTGTGCACTGATAAGTTTACTTTTGTCGCTGGTGATAGAATCGTTGAGAGCGTTGGCGAAGGGGTGACCGACGTGCAGCCTGGGGACCATGTCATCCCTTGCTACCAAGCGGAATGCAAGAACTGCAAGATGTGCAACAGCGGGAAGACCAACCTCTGCGGCAAAGTTCGTGGCGCCACAGGGGTAGGGGTCATGATGAGCGACCGCAAGAGCCGCTTCTCGGTGAATGGGAAACCCATCTACCATTTCATGGGGACGTCGACGTTCAGTCAGTACACTGTTGTGCATGACGTCAGTGTTGCCAAGATCAACCCACAGGCGCCCCTGGATAAGGTCTGCCTGCTCGGCTGTGGTGTTTCCACTGGTAGGTTCTAACCGCACTATCCTTGTACAGATCTGATGTTTTATTCACCAGCAGTCTAGTTTAGCCGTCACACAAGATTTTTCTGTAATTTTACATGTTTTTAAACAAATTTTGCCTGCAATGCTCATTCATTTGTTTGATAATCTCTGTTGCTCTATTGTTCCATTGATTTGCTTATTTACATTTCTAGTACAACAGTTAGCATCAAGTGGGTTGTTTCTCTGTTCTATTTCTTTTGCTGAAATCACTCTTCATTTAGGCCCCTTTATCTGATAACAAAGCATAGGGTTACCCATAATTTAGAGAGCATGATTTGTGTTATGATGCTGCAAGGTTCGTACTCTTTTATTGGTAAACTTTTTTCTGAGAGTTGATACATGATTCTTGATTCCATACTGTTGTTTACACCTGTTATTTGCTGACAACAATATGTGTAGCACCTTGACATTCTTGTGACTATCCTCTTGATAATTTCCAAAATTAGTTATTGTCTCAGTTTCTTTATATCTTACAAATTACAATCATGTAGGTCTTGGAGCAGTATGGAATACTGCAAAGGTTGAAGCAGGTTCAGTTGTTGCTGTTTTTGGGCTTGGCACAGTTGGACTTGCAGTAAGTAAAATATATCTGGATATACTTATATACCTGAGTGTGTAAACTAAGCTTTGACACCTGAACTTCCAATTTAGGTTGCTGAGGGGGCAAAATCAGCTGGTGCTTCTCGGATTATTGGCATTGACATTGATGCCAAGAAGTTTGATGTTGGTATGATTATAGTTTCTGTCCTTTCCTTCATTGTAAATTCCGCCCCCTGAAGGCTTAGAAACTACTAATAGTATCGTAATTTTCCTCTTAAGCTGCATGCTTTTTTTTGTTCAATTGCTGAAAGAGAGTAATTCACATTCGTGTCTCTGCTATAAGACAAAAGTTTCTTGTGCTGTGCATGCTGTTTGTGGAAGCCTTTTTAAAACTTCTGCTTGCTTTGAATAGAAACTGAAACTGTTCTTCTGCGACTAGTGTGGCGAACGGAAATCTTTAATATAGTTGTTGCTTGGGTTAAATCCCATATATAATATCTAGAATTCAGTTAATATAAACCAGAAGTTTCCTAGACTTTTTTATGCCGCACAGGGCTCCTTAACGAATAACACTGGCTTCTAGGCTCATTCAGCTCTATATACCATGAGTCTACTTTTGTTCTCTCGTGGTAGTATGCTAGTATGTATTACAAATGTATCCTTGCAAACTTGATGTGCTGTACTTGTTAAATATTGATCACAATGCCTTCTAGTACTGGATCAGATTGCAAACTGGATGCTACTTGTTAATATTTAGCAATGAAGTTTGTATTTGTAATTCTATCTTCTTTACTTGCTGTTTGCAGCTAAGAACTTTGGAGTCACAGAGTTTGTGAACCCAAAAGACCATGACAAACCAATCCAGCAGGTCCTAGTTGACCTTACAGATGGTGGTGTGGATTACAGTTTTGAGTGCATCGGAAATGTTTCTATCATGAGGGCTGCACTCGAATGCTGCCACAAGGTAAGCTGGAGTTGCAGCTTATGTATATGGCATGTTCATGAACTTCGTGGACTCATCTCACATATTATTCACAACTCTTCGTAGGATACCTTACCCAGGCCAGTTTAGAGTCCTGACTTAATCTATCATCGAATATCTGTATCTAAATAAATGAAAGATGTTTGAGACGAAAGGAAAAAGAGTTTAAATGCGTTGTAATGTGTGAAAACATGTTTCTTACTGTTTCAAAATTCTCTCTTGTAGATCCCTTTCATGATTTTCAGCACCTACAAAGTACAATATCTTGCCTTGACTGATTTTTGTTCTTAACTGTAGGGCTGGGGTACCTCCGTTGTCGTTGGTGTAGCTGCGTCTGGCCAGGAGATTGCCACACGGCCATTCCAGCTTGTCACTGGCCGTGTTTGGAAGGGAACAGCTTTTGGTGGCTTCAAGAGTCGGAGCCAGGTTCCATGGCTCGTCGAGAAGTACATGAACAAGGTATCAATCATACTCTCTCGGACAGAAATAATCCGCAAGCTAAGAGGAGCTTTTTTTTCATCTGAAGCAAAACCTGACCACATATCATTCACATCCACAGGAAATCAAGGTGGACGAGTACATCACCCACAACATGAACCTTACCGATATCAACAAGGCGTTCGACCTGCTGCATGAAGGCGGCTGCCTGCGGTGTGTGCTGGCGATGGAGCACTGAGGATCCTGCTATGGGTCTTGCCTGCTTCGAAGCTGAGCAGTTTGTGTCGTGTGAAATTGTAATGCAGATCTATGCTCCGCCCTGGGACTATAGAACTCGTTTGGCCCCGCTTGACCTAGAAACTCTTGAACACGAACCGCTGCTATAATAATATGTTGTGTTGGATGGTTTGCCTGGTTGGGGGCGTTACTGCTAGTGTGTTTTACTTGTTGACTCCCATCTCTATTGGCTCTGCAAATATATGCAACTTAGGGCCAGTTCTTTTGGGGATTATGGGTGGCTGTCAAAATAAGCTACCCCCGTTTCGCGAAACAAAAAAAGCTACCTTCTACCCATTTTATTCTAGCAGCCCAACCTAAAGTTACATTCTACTCCCTCTATTCCTAAGTATAAGTCTTTTTAGAGATTTCAATACGGACTGCATACAGAGCAAAATGAGTGAATCTATTGCTGCGTCAATATTGGAATCTCTAAAAAGATTTATATTGGAAGCTACTCCCATGGTCTGGAATTAACTATTGCTGAAATGAGTGTATACTATCTACTCCCTCCGTTTCTAAATATTTGTCTTTTTAGGGATCTCAAATGGACTACCACATACGGATAAAAAGACAAATACGTTCCTAAATATTTGTCTTTTTAGGGATCTCAAATGGACTACCACATACGGATAAAAAGACAAATATTTAGGAAATGGAGGGAGTAATCCTTAATTAATAGGCTTTTAGAATAAAATTTTAGGCTGGGCTGTCAAAATAAGATAAACTGGTAGAGCGCAGGTTATTTTGACAGTCACTCATAAGCCCCCCAAAATTAGGCTTTTATAGCCTAGTCAAATATCATCTTGAAATCACCACAACGGTTCTATAGAAATATTAAAAAAAACAGGTCTGCTCATCTAGAAGGTAATAATCTAAAACAGATTTCACATTGTTGGAAAGATTCAGCCAGTAAAACAATACATAAGTTTACAGTATGGCACAGGAAAGATAAATCTACATACATATTTGTAATAAGTACACAGCCAACAATGAGCAAATCATACACTGGCTTGTTTGATAATAAGTACACAGCCAACAATGAGCAAATCGTATTCTGATGCTTATAGAATGACGGCGCAAAGATTTTGCAGTATCAAAACTTAATAGTCTGATAACCTGAGCCAAAGCAGATTTCACATTTGGGGAAAGATTCACCAGTGAACGATACACAAGTTTACAGTATGATAGGAAAAACAAATATACATCACATCCAAGTATACAGCTACGGTAGTACCACGACCACAGCAGGGAACAAATCGTACATTGGCTTGTTTGATGAAGGAGCTTAGGGTATTTTGATGCTCATGAAAAGCCCGTCGGCACTGGCAAAGTTCCTCCTCTGTTGCATTGCATGAAGAATGACGATGCTAAGATTGAACTTTGGTGTCAAAAATTCTGGAGCCATGAAGGTTGTTGATATCTCGGTCTGCTTCCATGACCTCAGCGATGTTTCATTTCATTGCTTCTCCTCGACTTGGACACTGCTGCCTGCTAATTAGAATTGGTGAATATAAACGACCACAGACCAATATAACACATAGTAGAATTTTTGTGTCAACACGAATGATCATGCAAGAATTTTGTTAATGAATAAACTAGTGAGCAAAATTGCGCTAGACCAATTCATGCAAGATGTGTACGAATACTTGCAAATATTACTCTACTTCACTAAGAAAGTACACACAATACTTAGGACAGAATCTTAATTCTCAAACATGGATTCATAAATAAACCACACAATTATGCACATGAGGCCTTGTTCGGTTTGGTGAGGATCGAGGGGTATTAAATCCATTGTAAGTCAAAATCCTCCTCATTCCCCTCCAATCCTCTTCAGAAACTAACCAACATTCCTATTTCTCTCTATACCGACTATGATAAACAATAACATAAAGAGAAAACTTTACAGACTTGCAGTATGCTGTTAGTATTAGATATGAACACAACTCAGAGATGCCTAGGTTTTCTTGAATATTTCTCTTTCATTTCACTTATGCCTTTCTGCAAAAGAACACTACAATTCACTGAAATTACCATGCAAAAATCCGCTCTATGGCAAGATGTGTATCTATTCATAGCTTGTCAATTTAAACTGGTTACTTAAACCTATGGAAATGTCACTAAAACTGACAAACACTAAATGCAAGACGTGTGTTAATAATACAAGGAATCAGTGTCATAATGTGCAAGGAAAGAACAGAACCGAATTGTATGTAAGCTACTATGATTTTTTCGAATAATTACCGATTCGAACTCGTGGCTTTCTCTCGCCAGTGGAGGCCTTCTTCTTCATGTAGCAGCCATTCCAATCACCCCCGTCCTGCGAGTAGTAATCCATCGGGTATTCCCCTCCAAAATCATCTCCACCACAATCACCACTACTACAATCACCATTTCCACAAGTTCCTGATCCTGAACAGCACCCACTGCCACCTCCACCACTGCCATTTTGCCTACTCCCCTTCTCCCACCACCCAGGAACATACCCCAGTGCAACATCAAACTCAAATGTTGTCAGCACCGGCCTCTTGAACCCCTCCCCCCAATCGATCGACAACCGAGGGCATGCTATCTGCACCCATGCATCCACGGAATCCCCGAATAGCTCCATCCTCGTCGGGGAGAGCTCCGACATGAGCACCACCGTGTGCTCCAAACCTTTCTCCTCCAGATGCTCTACCACCCGGTCAAGGACCTTTAAGCTCCCCTGCCGACCCAGCGTGCCGAGGACAACCCCCCAGCTCTTGGCCTTCCTTGCCGCCAGCACCGCCTCCTTCCTCGCCTGCTTCATCCCAACATGGTCATACTCCTCCAGCACAAGCACACCAAGAAAGGGATCGAACCGGTAGGCCTTCACCGCAGGGTTGGCAATCATGAAGGCCTCGAGGTGGAACCTGCCGTCGGCGACGAACACCACCACGCCCACCCCCTCCGCCTTCTTCAGCGTGGGCGCGGTGCACCCGAGGATCTCGCCGGCGGAGAGCGGCTTGGCCTGCGGCACGACGATGTCGCGGTACCCGTCCCGCGTGAGCATCTCGCGCGCGGCATGCACCGCGGCGATGAACTGCACGGTGCCGGCGAGGGCGAGGCGGGGCGCGGCGTCCGGGTCCGGGAACGCGCCCCGGACGGCGGCTGCGAGGCGGAGCGCGTCGACGCGGATCTCGACGAAGACGTAGAGCACGGGGAGGAGCGAGGAGGTGACGGGGACGAGGCAGGAGTGGCCGTAGTGGACGAGGAGGTCGGCGGCGAGGGCCTTGGCGGGGCGGTCGCCGAGGCAGCAGGCGCCGTAGGTGGGGTCGGCGAGGATGAGGACGTCGTTGGAGGGGTCCTCGGCGAGGAAGGGGCCGAGGAGGTGGGAGAGGGGCAGCGAGAAGAGGAGCAGGCCCTCCGGGAGCTGCAGCGCGGCGCGGCGCGCGCCGGAGGAGCGGATGCGGTGCGCCGTCTTGTGGAGCTCGAAGTTGTAGGCCGCCGGGAGGAGCGAGGTGGCGGCGGCGGCGAGGGTGGGGTCGTTGAGGATGGAGGCCGGGATCGGGGTGTGGATGAACCGCTTGGGGGCCGGCTTCTTCTTGGCGCTCTGGGGCGCGTCTGCCGCGGTGACGGCGAGCGAGGTGGAGGGGTCGCCGGCGTCCATGGCGGCGGCGGCGGCGGCGGCGGCGGGTGGGGAGAGACGGGAAGAGGGGTTTGCTTAGCAGTACGAGACGACACGGAACCTCCTCCCCAAGAGGAGCAGCAGCAAGAGAAGGCCCACCCAAATAATGGGCCAAAATGATTTTCTTTTGGCCCAGTTTAACTCGTCGTCTTCTTCCTTTCTTCCCATTGTCATTCTTCGGGGAAATTCTAATTTTGTTTTTCAAGAAACTTTAAACACATTCATAATCAATCATGAACGCCAACTATAATAATTTTACAATAAGGTCCATGGACCACGTAGCAATGAATAAAAATGCTGGAGCGAGAAGATGTGCCACCACCATCGCTCTTTCCTCACTGGAGCTTAGCAAACTTTGTTGTAGTAGACAGTTGAAAGTCATCGTGCCAAGGCCTCAAGGACCAGCGAACTAGCACCGTTGAAGTGACTCGCAGATTGAAAAGATCAAATATGTAAACACATAAACGAAGACTGCATCCAAAAGAGATCCACCGAAGATCAACACCGACCGAATCCTGGGAAATCGGACGAAGACACACCTTCACACACCCTCCAATAACGTTGGACACACCACCAGAACAGGGATTAAACGTGGGAGACATCATTCCTACTAAAGGGTATCGCCGCCGTCACACAACCTCCACCAAGACGTTGAACTTAACACGAATTCATCGGCAAAATCCTATCCGATGCTAATAGCTTCGAATAGTCACTTCTGGTCATCAACAACTATCAACTTTTACCAATCCTAGCTGTTGCCGCCATAGCTTCTCTACACATTGCGGCCTCAACCTCCCTTCTCTTCCTTGTCTGGTGCCCTCATCGGCGGCAAGAGGAGTGGTGCTCACATGTCTCATTTTCTTGTCCTTAGGTTTTTGTTCCCCTAGCAACATCGACGAGTTGTTGGTGGCATAACGTGTTGGACTAAGGTTTCTTCGATCTCTCCCTAACTCGACGGCGTCTGATCCGGCATCGACGGAGGGTCTGTGAGAGTTTGTGTCCTCGGATCTGTTGGTTCCCATCAGATATTAGCAATTGTATGTGTTTTTCAAGGGGAGTTATGGCTGGCTATTGGTGCAGCGGTTTTGACATCTTCCTCCATGTTGTTCTATGACATGGTCCGGATTCTTCAACCCTGTGAACTACATGGGGTGATGCTCCAACCAACGTTGCTTCAGTGATTTATAAATCTCGCCTCAAGTGTCGAGTGGCTATTGCGGTCTTCAAAGCCTGGTACAGTGATAGCATTTGTAGATAAACATGTCCTTAACTATTAGTTTATTGCAATTTTTAGTCTGCATCGGACACCGTACAATCGAGGAAGAAGAAGGTTATTATGATTTTCGATGTAATTTTTTTTTACTGCTCGTTCTACATTGAGTTGTCTTTACATTGTACTAGTTTTTGTTTTCCTTGATATTAATCTGATTTAAGATGCCTTTGGATGCCTTTACTAAGAAAGAAAAAAGTCATTGAACACAGATGATCTATACATTCTGGTCTCGCCAATTTCAACTGTTTTTTTGTGGTCTTTGTTTTTCACTCGCTTATTTTTTGGTTTTTCTCAGTCTATTCTCTATTGATTCTTGTCAGCTTTTTTGGTTTATTGATTGAATTTTTATGTTTTCTCTTTTTTAAAATTCATTTAATTTATTTTTATTTTTGCCTGTTTTTACTAAGGAGCCAAAATCTTATATATAAACATTTTCAAATACAATGTAAACATTTTGTGTAAAATGGCAATAGTTTTTAATACATGTTGAATATTTTAAAAACATGATGAACAATTTTTAGATACACGAAGAATCCTTTTCAATACATGATGAACTTTTTTATACACATTGATATTTTTGCACATACCGTTAACATTTTATATATGCATGATGATTTTTGAAAGAAAGTTCATAATTTTATAAAATGTCCACACACTTTAAAACCATATAACTAGATTTTTTTTGCTGACATTTTTATAAAAAGTTTTTTTGTTTAAAACAATAAATACCGTACAGCGCGAGCCCAAACTGGATGTGCCTGGTGCGCCATCCCCCCTCTCATTGGTTAAAAATGGAGAACTATGCACGGGTTAGTGCCATGGGAGATCACCGAACAGATGATCCGCAATACTTATGTAACACTCTGGCAACATTAAATCTCAAGGGAAAATAAACAAGAGTCTCAATTGTTTGCCGCCAACACAGAAATAGGGCTCTCCAAAGTCCAAACCTCTCTTATTATCCATACAGAACCATACAAATCTCACTTATAATTGCTTGTCAAGAAGTTGCTCGGCAAACGGGAAGGAAGATGCTTGTCAAGAAGTTGCTCCAACGACTGAATAAGCAGACCATCGTTTTGTCCTTAATTAAAATTTAATCTCTGAATCTTAATTAATTTGGAAGCATTTGGCACCTCCGCGGAATTCAAACCCTGCAAGCCAACAAAAATCAGGTTCCGAAAGCAATTCAGAAACAGCCGCGTCAAGCGAGCCAAAGTTAAGCTTCATTATAGGGGCAGCCGCTCTGCTCTCCCCTGCTTGACTGTAGAATGTGTTGAGTTGCTGCTTGTACCAAGTACCAAGTGATTGATATCCTAGGGGGAACACATCATCTCATCCATATGATTTGTTGATTGAATTTGAACCATTGTAGATGTAGATGGCTGGGTGGAAATCTCAGGAATATTTCTCATCGAAAACAGTAGTATCAACTATGAAGGTTTACTTGCACAAGAATGACTGGAAACTATGACAATGTTCACTGACTTCAAGGGATGTTCCATATGATATATGAAAGAGATCATAGATAGTGCAAGCAATCGTGCTAATTCATGTAAAGTTCCCGTGGATTGGGAGATACTGCTGCGGAACTTCTGCAAGTCAGATGGCCATGAAGGCAGTGGGCCAAAAAATCCTCAGCTACAACTAGAAAAGGAGAAGAGAAAAAATAAAATCATTGCTTCTGTCAATCTCTAGCTGGCAAAGGTGAAGCACGCGGTCTTGTAGCTTGATTAGCGAGTAACAGCACACCGGATCCGTGGCGCAATGGTAGCGCGTCTGACTCCAGATCAGAAGGTTGCGTGTTCGATTCACGTCGGGTTCAATACCCCCGATCCTAATCCGGTCTATTTTTCTTCCTTTTTCCTATCATTTCAACCATTGGTTAGCTTTTTTTTTAGCAGTAACCATTGGTAATTGGTTAGCTAGATCTGGATTAACTGTCAACGTCTACCTGCGGCCCTGTGGGCTAAATTTGCTACATTCTCGTCTATCTGACTCGGGACGACGACGACACCATCTGTTGTAAGCTGAGTAATTATCTGTGATGGGAATGAATAAGCAGGGTATTGTTTTGTTCCGAATACAAAGTTCCGTTCCCAATTTGGCACCTCCTCAGAAATTCAAACTCGGAGCCCCGAGCTAAAAAATTGTGTCTGCGTCTTGAACGGGACCGAGAACAAGCAAATCCTATGTCGTTGTGTACTTGCGTTATGTACCAGTTCGAGCGTAGCACAGCATATGTAGGACTGGAATCGGGATTAGCAGTCGGAATTGAAAATTGCTAGGCAAAGTGGGATTAGGTGCTTTTCTTTTTGAGATGGAACCATATTTATTCCATTAACCAAATAGCTCAGCAAGATCGCTGGCAATCAAGTTGTGCACGAAATCAGGAGCTCCATCCGGCTGGGGAAGGGAGTCCCGAGCCTGCAACGAACATCGCAAGAGCGTTTGCAACTTTATTACAAGCCTGCGGGCAAAAAGAAGTGCGAAAGAAATTGAAATTCAAACGTGCAAAACACTTAATCTCTCTGAAGAGAATTCCATTCGCTCCCATATCATGATCAGTGGTGCTCAGAGCTTGCACCAGCGTTGACGCATCAGTTTGCACATGGACCTCTGATAATCCCCACGACTGGGCAGCCTGTAGGCTTTGAAAGCATGCCATCGCTTCCGCACCTATTGCTTGACCTTGTGCATCTGTGATAGTGAAAGCCCCAGCCACCAGTTCCCTGTTCTTCAGACATACTTCCATCAAATATTAATTTTAAGGGCGTTCTCGCCTAGCAGTTTCCACCTAGTTGCTGACACGCTCTGGACCTCCTTCTTATCCCCAAATAGCTTGTAATCTTGCACCCAGACTCGTACTCTCTTCATGACAGACAATGGCGGAGCTATATGTATAGCTGAGGGGGCTGTCGAAAAGTGCCTGCAGCTACCGAGCTTCATTGCTCTTTGATATTTGAATTTTTTGAAAAACACACTTTCGATGCTTAAAATAATCTTAAAACAAATATGTGAATACGTACACATATTCCTAAACACTGGTAGAAATCTAGAGATGAAATACTTTGTATTTTGGAAAATACAAAAAAGAGAAATTTTCGACCGAAATGGCACCTTTTTTCTCCTATATACTGTCAGAAATTTGTTTTTTTTCCTATAGTCCAAGAAAAGAGATTTGTACCGAAACTTGCAACGGGTATTCGGAATGTGTATATGCATCCCGGGAAATAATTTCACATTTTTTTGAAACTTCAAAAATACGAATTTGAAAAAGTCAAATATAGAGAGCACCGGTGCTCGGGTGCTGCAACG